GCCGCTGGTGCGGGGCGCCCCGCGCCGCCACCTGCGCCGCTTCGCCTGGCGCCGCCGCCTCGCGCACCCCGTCGCCTGGCCGCCCACGCACGTCCAGCGCGCCAACGGAAAGCTCCAGGTGCGTCCACCCCCACCCGCACGGCTGCGCGGGTGCACGCCCCCTTCACTCGCTCCTTCATGTACGTCTCCGAACGACGGGTCGCGGGGCAGTAGTGTGTTGGGGCCGCCAACCCAAAGAATATTCTAATTCAATTTAATCATAACACACGCTCTAACATTTTATTGCATAGTATAAGAATCTGCTTTCCTATTGTTGCACACTCTATGGTCTACGTACCAGCTATTTGAGACACATTTTAATAATAGATGAATCAAAAATTGAGTCACAAGTTTACTGACTACTAGATTCAACAAAAAATACTCATTCCTCTCATTGAGATACGTTGTAAAATTATTTATCATTTCTGTCATTAGAAATGAAGTCATTGTAATTAAATTCATTTGTAATTAATTTCATTGTAATTAAATTAAAAATTGTAGTCCTCAATTAGTTTTAATAATTACGAATATTATGTCCAGAATTATGTGCTCATTTACCCATCTGTGTTTTAAGAATTCATATGTGTATTATTAACTACTTTGTCGTACTTTAATGAAAGATTATTGCAACAAATAATCGGCAAATTCCTTAAATAAAATTTAATTTTGGTCCTCGAGGCTCTTAAAAGCTTCCAATGTGGCCCTCGGTAGAAGAAAGTTTGGGGACCCATAATTTATATTGATGTCGCATCAACTGCCGCGGTTATTGGTCCCGTAGGTGCGGAGTATGCTATATCCCGGGAGGTGCAGGCGTTTCCCCCACTACTTGATGAGGTCGCCCCCTTAATTAATTATTTATTGTCTACGGCCGCTTTAACTGCAAAGGTCTTTAATTGGAGGCGTCGTGCATATCAGGGAGCTAATGGTTGTCGTTCCCCCACTGGGCCGTACCATACCGCGCTCGCCCAGACGTCCGCTTGCGGAGGGTGACTTGTCCCTGGTGGGTAGGCAACGAGTGCGGATAGGACAAGAGGAAGGAAAGATCGCGCGCTGTCCATAACCCTTTTGTTAAGGTGCTGCTCCGGCATCTGCCTGGTGTTGATGGGAGAAACCACGGAAAACTATCGACCAGAGCAGCTGGCCACGATCTTTCCTCCATATCGTAACCTAGGTGACACGCTAGTGTTGATAATCCTTCCACCATCGGGACTGGAACTTATGGCCTTCCGTTTAGACTGTAATGTTACCTATCACTATGCCATGAAAACTCTCGGTTCAGTCATCTATTTATTGATTGAGACTCATTCTGACAGCTGATGTATTTCAGGTATTGGTTATGGAATTTCGAGAATCTTAACATACGAAAAAAAATTCACTTTAAATAAAATGTTCGTAGCTTATTCTGCTAATTGCAATAATGCGTCACATTCAGAACATAAAACTAAAATAATTACGAAATCTCATGGAAACAAGTGTCAAGCATTCTGTGGGAAGGCACGGTAAGCACATTTCACTCTGAGTGCGTCGGGCTTTCGCCTCTTATGGCGCTTCAACTGAAATGGGAAGCCAAGTGATAGCGAGACGTCCGTGGCCCGTTATATAAGATACTTCTCCGGCAAATGACGGCAAGTCAGTTACGAAACTACTGATTGGATCGCCTTCAAATACTTTTCCGACACACCCTTCAAACCCATCAAACATGTTGAAAATGCAATAAAATTAATGCTACTGAGGTTTTAAACTTGATTATCCATTCGGCACTTATTAATACTTACATTATTTCTCTGGTATTTCATATTTATTTTCCTTGTGCTGTATGCATTTTAGATTTCAGTAACAAAAATAACTTAGGAAAATATATTTGGTAGAATGAAACTAATGGCCCTGTGAAGAATGGCTGAGAAACTTCCTGCAGAACGGATATGTCCTGCGGGTTGCGTTAGTGACGTCATGTCACGGCGCTGTGGCAAACCCATTCCATCTTTTCGTTTTTGACTTGATAAAATAGCGACACTTTATCGTGGCTTAATCAGAATTGCTGGTAAAAAACATGAAAAACAATGCGTACGCCGGTATTAATCAGTTGAGATACGATGTTCTATATAACTACAGGCAAATCAGTCGAGGAATCTGTAGTCTGGACTACTGAGCGATACTATAGAACTATTCATAGGAGACCGTACAATTCAATTCGAATAGTTTTGTAATGAACTATATTCCTACCAACCGACATATAACTGTATTCCTCCGTATGTCTCAAGCTGTTTTAACTACTTTGTGACATCGAAAAGTAAATAATAAGACTTGGATTATGGTCCTACATTTCTAGCACCACCCGATTCTTAATTTCTCGCGAAAATTTGCAGTTTATGTTATAACAAAGGGTATTTGACCCATTATGTATCTTGCTATCCCTTGGTTGGAAGTTAATAAGAAAACAAGTCATTAGAACAGAGTCCTTCAAAAGTCTTTCCAACATAATCATCACGTGCATTACCAACATTAGAAAATTATAATTTATTCTTCTCCCAACATGAAAATTCTCCTTTTGATGCCCACGCTACCTGTCGGGACAGCCCGCGTGATGTGTTTGCCCCGCGCGGAATGGCGTCCAAGGGGCAGCCCCTGTCCCCGCCGAGAGGGAATGAAGATTTAATAGCGATCGAGCGGCTGCTGAATGGCTGCGGCCGCTCGCCCATATTGACCCATCGCCCATGCGCCCGTCCCAGGGGCGCCCGGTGGGACACCGGTTTTCGAATTTTCCTGCAGCCGACGCTCTCGACGAGTCGGGCTCTGACAATTCGATTTCACCGCCTGAGGTGGCTCAGTGCAATAGCTGCTGCTGCAGCGACTCTGGCAGGGAGATCCCACGGTTCGCGGTCCGACAGTGGAGAATTTTCAGCACCAGCTAGACATCGGTCAAATTCAGTCGCTGTCCGAAGGAGAATTCTAACGGCCGGCTGCTCCGATCGGTAGTTTTCCGGGATTTCTCAGATCAGCACCACGCGAATCCCAAAACAGTAAGCCATGGAACCGGTCCGGTTCTCTATCCTTAAACATGCATTCTGTCTACCTGATATACACACACCACTCTAGTTGAGAGCTTTGATCTTGTCCGGCGGTGCCCCGCTGGCAAAGGAACCTGGATGGAGAAAGAACTCGCAAATCGACATCTACGTCGGCTTTGGATCTCAAGTTTTAGGGGGGTGGAACACCGCCTTTTTTGGGCCAGAACATGCACTGCACTTCGGGACTAATGAGTACGGAAGTTGACGTGAGAGTTAAAACAAAGAAATCAGTCAATCAGAGATTTCATCTCTGTTGAAGATTTGTGGTAAGCAACAAATTTTAAGCCTAAATGAGGCCTCCGAGATTAATTTTAAAACTCTTTTTTTGCCTTAATAATACTTCATTTCGCTACTAGATAGCATTGTGGCTGAGTGGCAGAAACTTCCAAGTTTCTAGCTGATATAGAGATGGTGACATCTCCTGTGGTATAGCATTTCAACTGTAAAAGTACCACAGAAAGACAGTGACCAATAATTCTAGAACCGTCAAAAATCGCGGAATTTTCATGGGCTACTTATTAAATTTACTATCTTTACATTTATAATCCAATTGCTGTTGCACTTCGT